GGGCCCCAGTTTTGTGGCCCCCAAAAAAATTGGCATGCCAGTGCCAGCTTCCTGCAAGATGGGGGTGCGAGGGGGGGGGGGAAGATAAGAAAGTCTTGCCACTGGTTCCATCTTTCAGGGAAGCAGAGCCAGAAATGACTCCACCCACTGCCTCTTCCCCGGCTGGGGGGACAGCAGCACAAGGATGCGCTTCCTGGAGGCTTTTCTTAACGCTCCCATTGGCTGGAATCTGGCCAATGGGAGCAGCAGGAAGCCATGCCTGGAAGCAATGTGAAAGCAAGTAAGTAGGTCTCCCTCCCCAAGCTAAGAGCCCCACAACCCCAACCCGCTCATTCAACACTCTGCCAAGACCCCACACTCTCAGCCGCCTCACTCAGACCCCCACAGTAGACACCCCACACCTCTCTCATGTACCACCTCCACTGAGATCCTGCACACCCATCCTGCTCCTGCACTATCCCGGTTGGCCCCACACCCTACCACCAGCATGCTCCTGCACCCTACCTCCTACCTAGACCTCACACTTTCACCCCTTCCTACACTCCCATCCCTTTCCCACTCACTGTCAGCCCTGTCCCACACTGAACCCCTCATTTTTGGTCCTACCTCAGAGTGTAGGCAGGGCCCACAAAATCTACTAACCCTCAAACTCCAGAAGAGTTAATCTGACCTGAGGCCTTGAACCTCAGTCCTCCCTGACCTCCACCCCTGAAACCATGGGGCTGGAGCACCAGGGGAGTGATGTTTCAGTTGGTGACCACCGAGAGGGGATGGGGCAGTCAGAGGAGGTGGGGAGAGGGGATGGGGCAGTCAGAGGAGATGAATGAAGTACATTGAAATGGTCAAAATGTGAATATATTGTATGTGTATCTATTTGCTTTGTTTTTAGTTAATTTTTTTAGTGAGGAAGAATAGATCCAAGTGCATGTAAAGTATATTGAATGGTTATGGAGTTTACCATAACACAGGAGTTCATGTTCACTGTTATAAAAGCAAATTAAGACGTAGTTCTACAAGATGTTCCACCTGCACAGACCCACACTGAGGTCAGAAATTCTGCACATTTTTAGCGCATCAGAGGTCATCTTGACTTGAATGGGATCTGTACATGTTCATAAAGTTGATCACAAGACTGTTTGCATGGTCAGAGTCTTAACTATAATTTCTGTAAGTGATATTGTTGTGTGAGTGAGAGATAGAGAGAGAGAGAGAGAGAGAGAGAGAGAAATAAATATAAATACAACTATATAACTTTTGGGTGATTAATTCCTACCAAAAAGATTTATTTACTGTTCATTGGTTATTATTTTTGTAGATCTGATAAACATTCTTCTGAGCTAGTATCTGGTAAGTGACTGTGTAAAAATAAACATACAGATCACTAAAAAGGTGAATGACATGAATAATGGATCTTTTGAATGACCACTTGTTGAATAAATAAGGCTGTTCCTGTGTGGTACTGCAGTATAAAATATCATGTCTTCAATGAATAGCTGATAAAGGAATGACAACTCCTGATTTCCTTTTGTAGGCTCAGGATCCACCCAAAATCTTGGCTTCCCTGCTTGCAGCTTTCAGAACTCTTCAGTGTGATGATGATGTCTAGATGGAAACTAAATTTTAAATAAACTTAGAGATAACTAGCCCGAGCCCCGTCAGCCACACTCTCTCCCCGCCAGCCCAGCCCCACCAGCCAGGCAGAGGAGGCTCTGTCCCAAGCGCAGGTAGGGAGCGCCTCTTCCTCGGGGGTGGTGGCAGGGAAAGCAGAAGGAACTTGGGGGAAGCAGCAGGAAGGGAAAGTTCGCGGCCGGGGTGGGGGAACTGGCAGGGGAAGGAGGGAGCCAAGCGGAATGGGCACTCCTAGCTTTGGGGCTGCAGTTGAGCGGCTCCGCCAAAAGGTTGCACCATTCCCCCTTGTCCACTGCCGCCCCCGCCCCCCTCGGTGGCCGCCGCCGTCCTCTATTTTGTGGCTGGGCCGAGCTCCGCTGGAGTCGTGGGCAGCCTGGGGCAAACAGGGATGATCCAGCCAGGTGCGTCCTGTTATATTATCTGATTGTGTCCAAAAGTACCTTAAAACCTTCTCCTGGATGAAAGGTTATCCCGTGCAAAGTTTAGTTGTGGTAGCTCTTACAGGGTATGTCTCGACTACAGGCTTTTGTCGACAGAAGTTTTGTCAACAGATACTGTCGACAAAACTTCTGTCGACAAAGAGCGTCTAGACTACATCCAGTTCTGTCGACAAAGCAAGCC